AGCTATCAACTCGTTGTTGTATGACGTCCAAATGAACTATCAAATAATAACATAAAAGTGAGTATGCGCAACACAAGTGACTTTATAACTAGTAAGTTTAGGTACATATTTACCTGTGCGGCCTCCAACATATCAAACACATCCCTGACAAGGGGGAGATTATGATGAGCATCAATGCCTCGGTAGTTCCCACACCGGAGAACGCACCTCCTAGCTAGAGGGAGTAACGGAGGTGCTACATCCGGAGGTAATGGTGGTAGAGGTGGATACAACGGCATGAACTACTCCCAAGCCCAAACCTAACATACAAGGTCGACGTAAAATTTAAGAGTCATTTTGACTATATAGAATTGGAAGTAATGAACAGAGTATTCGAATATGTTGTCACCTGTAGAAGCGGCAGAAAACCACATATGTCGCTCTGGGTGCCCATACTAGCCCGACACATACTCCTATACAGGTAAGCAAGAACAGCAGCACCCCAGCTGTACTGGGGTAACTCATCTAGCTGCTGAAGATGAGGTAGATATTTCATACTCACTAGATTTTTCGAAGTGTTAGGGAACAAGACACCCCCAAAAAGAAGGAGCAACACCAACCTCGTATACCGGTGAATATGGAGATCATCTGTCTCGCCGGTGATATCGGGGTGCAATACCTCCAAATGTTGTCTGATAGCTGTCACAGCAATGCGACTGCCCCCTCTAGCTGCATCCTCACCCTGTGGCCTGAAACCAGTGAACTGCTGCAGCAAGTCCAAATACTAGGCATGCGTCATAGATCTCATATACTGAGGCAATGCAACGGCCAGTCCATCAGCAGGCAGCCCATATAAAACCTGAACATCCTGAAGCGTGATGGTGGCCTTGCCAATGGGCAAGTGAAAGTGTGTGTCTGCGGTCGTCACCGCTCTATCAACGCCGTGATCAGAGACCACTCGAGTTGCAGCCGCCCAATCTCAAAAATCCTATAGAAGCCCATTTTACGGAGGCGCTGGACTACGCGGGAATGGAAAGCTCTATCCCTCAAAAAGTCCCACACGTCGTCCGGTCTCCTGGCGCAGAGAGTCTGATCCACTAGTTGTCCCTCCCATAGGTAGGTGGACCTATGATCGCCCTGTAACACTAATATCTGATCCGAGGTTGGTCCAGGATGCACAGGCGGCACGTCCATGCCGTCTACTGTAAATTAAACAAAATTAGTTGTGTGTTTGTGTTATAATAATTAATATTTAATTATTTAACTAGACACATTATATATCTATGGGTTCCGGGCTCGATATTTGAGGCTCAATAGCACCACGCTATCCTGAATTCTTATGGTTGTCAATTTCAATATTTTTACAATTTTGTTTGTGTTATAATAATTAATATTTAATTATTTAACTGGACACAATATATATCTATGGGTTCCAGGCTCGATATTTGAGGCCCAGTAGCACCAAGCTATCCTGAATTCTTATGTGTTTCAATTTCAATATTTTTAAAATTTTGTTAGTATTATACTAATTAATATTTAATTATTTAACTAGATAGAGTTTATATCTATGGGTTCCAGGCTCGATATTTAAGGCCTTGTAGCACCAAGCTATTCTGAAATCTTATGTGTGTCAATTTCAATATTTTTAAAATTTTGTTATGTTATAATAATTAGTATTTAATTATTTAACTAGACAGAGTATATATCTATGAGTTCCAGGCTCGATATTTGAGGCCCAGTAGCACCAAGCTATCCCGAATTCTTATGTGTGTCAATTTCAATATTTTTAGAATTTTGTTAGTTTTATAAATTAAATATTTAATTATTTAATTGGACATAGTAAATATATATGGGGTCCATGCTCGATATTTGAGGCCCAGTAGCACCAAGCTATCCTAAATTTTTATGTTTGTCAATTTTAATAATTTTACAATTTTGTTAGTTTTATAAATTAAATAATTAATTTTTAATTGGATAGGGTATATATCTATGAGTTCTGCTCGATATTTAATTTGACAACATATATTAATTTGTTAGTTCTGTGTGTTTGTTTTATAAATTAAATAATTAATTTTTGTAAAATGTAATTGGATAGAGTTTGTAGTAGTAGATATTTAAACTACAGAGACTCTACACTAAAAGGCTCTATATTTTACTACGTTAAAAGGCTCTATATTTTACTACGCTATAAGGCTTTATATTTTACTACGCTAAAATGGCACTATTCTTTAAGCAAATAAATAATCTAAACTAAATAAAAACAACAAACATATGAACATAACATTCACGAAATTATATATAAAACAATAAAAGAAATTTATGAACATTTTTATTAACAATAAAAATTATTTCTCAACTTTTAACTATTTCTTTTAAACACTAATAATTTAATCTGGATAAAAATAACATACAAATTTAATCGCAAACAAAACACAAAACAACGTGGAAACACATTCAAAGAAACAAATATGAATTATTATACGAGTTTCGACATAAACTAAATCGGAATACCTCGATTTATGTTTTTAGAAATGTTTGAAATTTAAAATTTTGAACCCGAAACAAGGAAACCACAACAATCGAAGGCTTGGGTTGTATGCGGAACCTACAATCTTCACTTTTTGTGTGACGGGTGGGGTCCACTAAATTTTTTTTTAAAAATTAGGGGAGGGGGGACCGCTGGAAAGGTTTTTTTTTTTTAATGAAACCTTCTGATTTTGTCGCGGGGAAGAAGGAGAGTTTATAATTTAATAGGAAAATGCTGTATAATACTGCGCTTTACTAAAATGCAGTATTATACTGCATTTTCCTTTAACGGCTACAATTCCGTTAAACTAAAACGCAATATAATACTGCGTTTTAGTTAGAAAGGTAACTTTTTTTTAGCCGTATAAAGGTATTTTGAGTCCAAAAATTCATTATTTTGGTTTCGGACTCGTCTAACTTCCATTTTAACTTCTATCTATTTTTTTATTTTTATTTTTAGGTTCGAAAAAACAATACCTCTTCACCTTTTGAATTGGATAATAAAATCCCCTCTCTACCTTAAAGTAATAGGCCGAATGAGATAATAATAATAATAATTGGTGGAATCTTAAAAGGTCGAAAACGACCCTCAATTAGTACTGATTATGACATATATTTTTGAATAACTAAGCATAATTAAGTGTAGTATATATTGTACATAATAAAAAGCCATAGCTTTCTTTTTTCTCCTTTAGTTTTTTCTTTTGATTTTCGAAAAATTTGATATAAAACCAATAAATTGATGAAAATAATGAAGCGATAATCTACTTGTAAAACCAAGCACTATCCCGATTCTGAAAAATGCAGAAGTAAATACCATGCATAGATTTATTTGTTTGTACATTTTCAAGCATTGTCAGTTATACCATCGAGTATTTTTAAAAAAAATATATTTTGATTGAATCATCCCCTAAATAATGGATTTAGGTCATATATAATAGGTTCCAATCTATATATGTTATGTAGAGAGTCACATGTAACTCATATTAATCATCTTGGAAGCAATTTGATTGCATGCATAAATATTTTTAACATTGTTAGTGTGTATATATGGAGCTTAGATTATATATATAACTCCCTCTATCCTAATATATATAACATACTTTCCTTTTTAATATGTCCCAAAAAGTATGATATCCTTTTATATAAAAACTAATTTAACTTTACACTTCTAATTTATCATTAATAAAATTATTTATAGCTACACAAATATCTATGATTATTGTAGACCACAAATTTTAAAAATATTTGTGTATTGTTGAGAAAGGGGTAACATAAATGTTAAAGTGTAAGGGCATTTTAGTCTTTTCAGTCTTCCTAATTACCGGTAGTTAGATGTCCATTAGTTAGTTAAGAGGTCAATTAGTTGAGTCAGATTATCAGTTAATTACTTAACTATATATATTGTAATTACACGGTTGCTTTATTCAATATGAAAAATATATGATTTCATTATCTCCTCCACTCATTCTCTCTCTAACTTCTCTCTAGTCTTCTTCTAGACATTTTCATCTTCTTCCTCTGAATTCTAGAGTTCATAATCTAGAAATTGCCTATTAACTTCATAGTATCAGAGCAGTAGAGCGTGAAATTCTAGCTTGTGTTATCGATCTTTCTCATTTACAGGAAAAACAATCCGAAAATCTTGTGAATTCTTGTCAATGGAAAACGAACAAGGTTTAGGTCGTGGATCTGGATCTCAACAACATGCAAGGGATCAATTGAACTCTGGAGTTGAAAATTCAACTATTGGAACTGAAAATTAACCAATTGGAATCGACTATAATGATCCTCTGTTCATGTTTCCAGCCGATGTGAGCGATATTCAAATCATCCCATTTCAACTCACAGGTATTGAAAACTACTCAATCTGGGATCTATCTTTGTGTGTTGCTTTACTAGGAAGAAATAGGTTAGGACTAATTGATGGCTCATGTAAGAAAGAAACATTTCCAAAAATTCTATGGAATCACTAGGAGAGAGTAAATGCAATTGTACTCTCGTGGATTATGAACTCTGTGTCTAAAAATCTTCTATGATGGATTATGTATGCATCTTGTGCCCAAGTAGTTTGGGAAGATTTATCTGAGAGGTTTAACAAGGTAGATGATTCAAGGTCTTTTAATATGCATAAAGAAATTGCAATATTGTCTCAAGGTACTGCATCTATTTCAGTATACTTCTCGAAACTTATGGATATGTGGGAAGAGTTTGAAGACTTGGTGCCTGCACCAGGTTGTGATTGCCCTAAATCTAAGTAGTTTGTGGTATATCTTCAAAAACTTAAGTTGTATCTGTTTTTAATGGGACTTAATGACTCATATGTCCAGGCTAGAAGTCAGATTCTAATTAGGAGTCCAGTACCTACGGTTAATCAAGCTTATGCTATGATAATTAGTGATGAAGGTCAGAAGTCAATAACAAATGCCACATGAATTTTAGGTGCCAATCCTGCAATGATGTCAGGAAGTTTTGATGCAGTGATGTACTCAAGATCCACAGGAAATCAAAGATTCAAGAAAAACTACAATATTCAGTGTGACTTTTGTAAACTCAAAGGATATAGCAAAGAAAATTGCTACATGATTGTGGGCTATCCACCTAATTATAGACCAAAAAAAAGGGGGGGGAAGGAACCAATGTTGCCTACAATGTCATGACTGACAATATGGTGCAACAGACATATAATGGTTGTAATGATGTAAAGAGTTCTTTACAAAGTGTTAATATGAATATAAATCAAGGATATAAGGATAAAAGGACTATGAATGGACTCAATTTCAACCAATTGAATCAGATGACAGGATGCACAATCTCAAGAGAGTAATATGATTGAATACTTCAACTACTTAACAAGTCTGGAACCAGTCAGTCTTCAAGCACAATTACAACTCCTGCAGCCAACACAACATGTATTATTTATGCCCTGATGGTTTCCAATAGTCTCCAAGAGTGGATAATAGATATAGGAGCCACAAACCATATGGTGGCTAATTTGAATATGTTAAATGAGTCTATTGTAATTCAGTCTGAAAAAACCAAAGAAAATATTCATGCCAAATGGAGATATTTCCTATGTGACACACACTGGTGCTAGCGCCATATCATAAGGAAACACAATTACTAATGTGTTTTATGTTCTATCATTTAAATTCAATTTATTATCAGTATCTAAACTGACAAAAACAGCCTTATTCCCTGATTTCTATGTATTTCTGGAACTCTTCAGTGGGAAGGTGAGGGCGATTGGTAGGGAGGATGATGGACTCTATATACTAGAAAGACAAGTGGTTGGAACATCTTTAGCAGTAACAGCTGGAATAAAGGAAAGTGACCAGAGTAATTCAACTACAACAAAGGAAAGGGATCTTTGGCACAAGAGGTTTGGTCATGCTTCATCCACATTTCTCAAAAAGTTACTTCATAGTAAAACTGATCTTATAGTCGATACAGTAAAGCAATGTGTAGTTTGTCCTTGTGCTAAACAGTCAAGATTACCATTTCCTATCAGTAGCATTAAATCTGTAAGCAAGTTTGATCTAGTACATATGGATCTATAGGGACCATACAGGACTCCTACATATAATAGTAATAAATACTTCATAACTATAGTGGATGATTTTTCAAGAATGACTTGGGTGTTTTTGCTTAAACAAAAGTCAAAAGTGTGTGTTTTGTTACAACAGTTTGTGGTCCTAATTAAAATTCAATTTGACAAAATTGTTAGAATTGTTAGAACTGATAATGGTATTGAGTTTATAAACTCAGTATGCAATGAAATGTTTAAGAAGTTTGAGATTGTTCATCAAACTTCATGTGCTTACACTCCTCAACAAAGTGGAGTTGTTGAAAAGAAGCACATACACATTTTAGAGGTCACCAAGACAATTAGATGCCAAGCTGAAATACCTATAAGATTTTGGGATCATTGTGTAACTGCTGTTGTTTACCTCATAAACAGACTTCCAAGTGTTGTCATCAACAATAAGACTCCCTATGAAAAACTATATCAGAAGTCACCTTCATATACTCACTTAAGGGTGTTAGGGTGTCTATGTTATGCAAAGATAGTTTATCAACATGACAAACTATCCTAAAGAATCAAAACTGCAGTTCACATGGGATATGCAGAGACTCAAAAGGATATCTATTGTATGACTTACATGATAGGGTATTCTTTGTTAATAGAGATGTAGTCTTCAGAGAAGATGTCTCCCCTTTCAAAAGGAAAGAATATTGTTCAGCTCCTATATTCTCAACTTCAAATTCTCAGTTGCAAGATCTTTAATTTTCAATACCTGATTATATACAGGTACATAATCAGACAGTAGTTCAAACTCCAAATATGAAATAGAACTTGGTCATATTCATGAACCTATACAAGATAATTCTAGTGAGAATCAAGTCATGGATAGTTTATATCAAGAACCTCAAAATAGAGACTCTGAGAGACTTGAAATATCAACTACATGATTTATGCATAACATAAATCCAGTAGTTCAGACTGGACATAGAAGAAATGATATGGGAAAAAGACCACCTATATGGTTAAGTGACTTTATGTCACTCAATGTTCATCAAGAAGTTCCATATCCTATATCAAACTACATCAGTTATGAAGGCCTGTCTTCATCATACAGAACTTTTATTGATACCTCCTCAAGTGTTAGTGAGCCTACAACTTATGCAGAAGCAATAAAAGATCCAAGATGGATATAAGCAATGAAAACAAAAATTGATGCATTACAGAATAATCATACATGGGACATAGTTTCCTTACCTGAAGGAAAAACATCAATAGGGTGTTAGTGGATTTATAAAGTGAAGTATAAGGCTTCAGGTGAAATTGAAAGGTTTAAAGCTAGATTAGTAGCAAAGGGATACAGTCAAAAGAGGGAATTGATTATCAAGAAATCGTTTCTCCAATAATTAAAATGAAGACTGTTAGAATAGTTCTTGCAATTGCAGCAAAAGAAAAATGGCATATACACCAGATGGATGTGTATAATACATTTCTTCAAGGAGATTTATATGATGAAATCTACATAGAGCTTCCATAAGGATTTAAGAGCCAGGGAGAGAAAGTATGCAGGCCCATCAAATCTTTGTATGGTTTAAAACAAGCTCCAAGACAATAGAATGCAAAGTTAACTGAAGCTCTAATAAAATTTGGCTTTAAACAAAGTCAGTTTGATCACTCTTTATTTATTAAGAAGACTTCTAAGGGTACTACTATGGTTTTGGTATATGTTGATGATATGCTGATAACAGGTGATAATTTAAAATTGATTGAAGAAACAAAAAACAGCTTGCATCAAGTGTTTAAAAGGAAGGACCTGGGTGAGCTAAAGTATTTCTTAGATATTGAGTTTGCAAGATCTAAACAAGGGATACTAATGCATCAAAGGAAATATACTCTAGAGCTTATATCAAAACTTGGATTGAGTGCTGCTAGACCCATTGCTACTCTACTAGACAATAATGCTAAACTGACAACCAGAAAATATGATAATCACTGTAAAAATCAGTTAACAGATGATCCTCCTGCTGAAATTAACTCATATCAGAGATTGATAGGTAGACTGCTTTATTTAACAATGACCAGGCCTGGTATTTCCTTCAGTGTTCAAACACTTAGTCAGTTCTTACAATAGTCTAAAAAATCACATATGGAAGCAACAATGAGGATTGTCAAATATATCAAGAACCAACCTGGAATAGGGATTCTATTATCTAGTTCAAACAACAACAACAATACTGCCTATTGTGATGCAGACTGGGCAACATGTCCAATTACTAAAAAATCAGTAACAGGGCACTTAATCAAGATAGGAGACTCATTAGTAGCCTGGAAATCAAAGAAACAAATAATAGTATCTAGGAGTTCTGTAGAGCCTGAATACATAAGCATTGCAGCCACAGTAGCTGAACTCATTTGGCTACAAGGTCTCATGAAAGAAATTGGCATTGAAGTAACCTTGCCTATTGAGGTATACAGTGATAGTAAAGCTGCTATTCATCAGATTGCAACTAATCCTGTATACCATGAGAGAACCAAGCATATCGGAATAGATTGTCACTTTATAAGAGAAAGAATAATACAAGGGTTGATAGTAACAAAGTACATTCCTAGCAAAGATCAGCCTGCAGACATTCTTACTAGAGGTCTCTCCAGAGTTCAACATGAACACCTAATGTCCAAGCTAGGAGTTCTAAATATTTTCTCACCTCCTAGCTTGAGGGGGAGTGTTGATAAAGGGGTAACATAAGTGTTAAAGTGTAAGAGCATTTTAGTCTTTTTAGTCTTCTTAATTACCGGTAGTTAGATGTCCATTAATTAGTTAAGAGGTCAATTAGTTGAGTCAGATTAGCAGTTAATTACCTAACTATATATATTGTAATTACACGGTTACTTCATTCAATATGACAGAAGCAGAAGCATAATCTCAGAGGAACATGCAGGTTTTGTAAAGGGCAGAAGCATAGTTGAGAATGTGCTGCTAACTCAAGAAATCATTAAGGGTATCAGGTTGAGAACAAAAGCAGGTCCAAACGTTGTGATTAAGATTGATATGACAAAAGCTTACGATAGGCTTTCATGGCTATTCCTGACCAAAATACTATGGAAAATGGGATTTCTTGAAGCTTTTATTGGCTTGATCTTTGATTTGATTGGGAACAATTGGTACTCTATTCTTATAAATGGTCAGCCTAATGGATTCTTTAAATCATCGAGGGGAGTTAAATAGGGTGACCCTTTGTCACCAACTCTATTCATTCTAGCAGCAAAAGCACTTTCTCGGGGATTAAATTCACTACACACTAACCTGTATTTCTGTGGATTTGGAATGCCAAAATGGAGCCCAAAAATAAATCATCTATCATACGCTGATGATATGATCATTTTCTGCTCATCTGATGAAACTTCATTGAGACTTGTCATGGAGGTTTTGCAAGCTTATGAATCATCATCTGGTCAACTGGTGAACAAAGCCAAATCAGCAATATACCTGCATCATTTAACGGATAATGAGGTGATTAACAAGGTGGAAAGGATTACAGGCATAAGAAGACAAGGTTTCCCTATGACCTATCTCAGATGTCCTATTTTTTATGCAAGAAGAAGGGGAGACTATTACCAGGGATTAATCACCAGGGTTATGGACAAATTGCAGTCATGGAAAGGCAAACTCCTATCTGTAGGAGGCAGAGCGGTTTTGATCGCAAATGTCCTGCAGAGTATCCCAATTCATATGTTGTCAGCAGTTAATCCACCAAGTTATGTGATCAACAAATTACATAGCGTTTTTGCCAAGTTTTTCTGGAGCAGCAATGTGGGAGGCAGCACTAGACATTGGGCGTCTTGGACTAACCTTTGTATGCCTTATAAGGAGGGAGGCATAGGTTTTAGGTCCCTACATGATGTATCCAAGGCACTATTCTGCAAATTATAGTGGAATTTCAGGACAAAGCCCAGTTTGTGGAGTGCATTTATTAGTCAAAAGTACTGCAAGAAANAATGCCATCTAAATGTTGGTGTTGTACTGATCCTAAGGAGGAGTCATTACTACATCTGTTCTTCACATTCAATGCAGCTAGAAGTGTTTAGACTTACTTCCTGAGGAGAGCAGGAATTGCATTAGATGGGTTGTCATTACATCAAGCAATTACAAAGTGTTGGACAACACCAGTTGTACCTATATTGAAGTCAGTATCACAAGCTTTACCTGCATGCATTGTATGAGAACTTTGGAAGAGAAGAAACAGTTTGAAATATGGAGAAGCAGTGTCAGTGAGCAGAGTTATTTACCAGGTGTCGTTTATTGTGCAAGCACTTGTCCAACTGAAAAAGCCTGGACTACGTGTGCCTCAGAAGTGGCTGGACTTACTGACAATGATGGAGAAATACACACCTCGACTGAAATATGATAAAGTTTTATAGGAATTTCCTTCAAGAGGATGGATCAAAGTGAATACGGATGGAGCATGTAGAGGGAACCCAGGGAGGAGTTCAATTGGTTTCTGCATAAGAGATGAGGTAGGTGATTTGATATATGCAGAAGGAAGGGAGATTTCTAAAGGAACTAACAACGAATCAGAAGCGGTAGCTATTGTGGAGGCATTGAAGATGTGCAAAAATCTTAATTATTTCCAGATATGGCTGCAGACAGATTCTATGCTATTAAAGAACATTATAGAAGAATCATGGAAGCCTCCTTGGTATATTACTGAACATGTAGAGGAGATTTTAAGATTGAAGGAACAAAGTATCATCAAGGTCACACACATATTCAGAGAAGGGAATACATTAGCAGACCACCTTGCCAATTATGCTCTAGATGAAGGAAATACTGAATGTCATGGTTTCTGGGATATGGACTCAAAAGGAAGGAGGATTATTAACGAAGATAAGATGCAATGTCCTTACATAAGAGTGAAGGTTGCAAGGAATTAGGAGGAAAAGAGGATTCTTTTTGTTATCGGACTCGAATCATTCTTGAGGAGAGTTTGGATAGCAATTTTTTCGCTAACGTTTTTCACTTTTTTGCAGGTATTTCATCGAAGCTAAATCCTAATCTTATAGTTGAATCTTAAGTGGTGGTATTAATGCATTGCATTCAATCCATTGGGAGGACATTAAAGGTGGGCTTTGGCACTTTTACAATGTTCATTTCATGGTTGTCATCCACATCAAAGGGAAGTATTGAAATAACATGGGAAAACAAGATGGGCACGTGAAGTTCTGGACAGTAACAGATGCCAAATCGTTTGAATTTTGCACCAACACGCTAGAGAATTTGTAGGAAATCATGTTCTTTAATTGTTTATTGCTGGAACATGAATGGCACTCGACAGGATCTGGTCAAGGGAATGGAAAAAGAATTAAGCATGCGTTTTGGAAACAAAATACAAATCAGCTTTACGACAAAAGCTGTAAACTCACATTATGGACGCTGCAAACATCCAGCTAATTTTAATAAATCGAACTAAGCATTGTGGGCTGTAGTGATTTCGAGAAACCCTTTCATGTGCGCACATGGTTAATGTGGAAAGCGTGGAAGACAAAACATGGTGTCGAACAAAAGTATTACATGGGAAAATGTAATACACATGGAAATCTGTGGTGGTACTTTGGGATACAATTCGTATGCTTCAGCTATAAGTGGAGGCCACGTGATTTTGGATTCTACAATAAAAGCCTGTCTCTATGGATTATATAACTGGTCTGGGCAGCGCAATCGAGAATGCAAGGAATCAAAAGGACTGTAGGGACGGAAGAATCAGCGCACGCGTGCAGTTACCTGTTCAAAGAATCTTGATGCACGCATGGATGGTGGCAGCTGTCACAACCAAAGCAGTTGGGGCATGCTATTTTGAGAGTATATTTTAAATTCCAACAGGGAGGCACGCCTGGTTTCACATGGAAATGCACGCTGGAAATGTAATGCATGCTGGACATGAATGCTTTGACATTTGAGCATGCACTACATTTGCACAATTCGAGAAATGCTGGATTACAGCATGTGCGAGCACAAGGATGCTCCAGCTCTGTGTTCGACAAAGGTAGTAATTAAATAATGGCTAGTGATTAAACAATGGTCAGTGCTCTCATCTTCGGCGCAACAACAGCAAAGGGATCGAACGAAAAGAGTATACGCGTGGGAATACACTGCTCTCATTAAGCAATAGCGACAGAAGAGTCAGCGTACGCGTGCAGTTTCCTAGGAGGCACCACTAGGTCGACATTACATGTTGAATGCAGATAAAGCGTGGCTAATGAATTTCAACAATCTTAAGCTGGAAGAATAGATCGGATGCATGAATAATACAGCAGCACAAACAGAGGAATGGACTGGACATTGCGATCGATAAGCCACATAGAAAAGAGTTATGTATGCAAACAGCAAGACATAAATTGCAACTGGATAGAAGCAAATGCGAAGGAGAAAGACGTATACTAATGCATGAATTGTATGGGCTGCCTTTTAGTTATACAAATTTTATTAGACTTTGTGTGATATCAACTTTGAGTACATTACTCAACTTTGATAATAGGTCTTATGAAGTTTACAAAATTTATTTCGTGCTCTTTTTAAGATTTCATGACACTTTGTTTCTCCTTTTATATATTAATAAAAACTAACCCTAGGCTATGCCTAGTGGATTGCTTAAAAAAAATGAAAATATATGATTTTATTATCTTCTCCACTCATTCTCTCTCGAACTTCTCTCTAGTCTTCTTCTAGACATTCTTCATCTTCTTCCTCTGAATTCTAGAGTTCATAATCTAGAAATTGCCTATTAACTTCGTGTGTTTATTAAATTTCTTATCCAATTAAACTACGCCTTTTGAACTAAAACAGGAGGAGTAACAAACTTTAAGTATTGAAGTAATATATTTAATCTTAATTATAAAAAATAAGAATAATCATCCTGCCTTTGGCAGTTCCATATATAAAAAGTCCTGAAATAGCAAAGCATGTTGGTCACTGCGTACATCACCAAGACACCAACCAAGAAAGTACTATTACAACTCAGTCCGCTTTTACTTATCTACAATAGATTTTGTACTTTTAAAAAAAATAATAAATGAAATATATCTTTCTATTATAATACCTATAACAATAATAGTATTTAAAAAAAATTAAATATAACGTAAAAAATGAGTAATTAAGAATAAGGATAAAACAAAAAAAAATTCAGTTGACAAATAAAAGTAAAAATATATTTTTAGTTTAGTGGTGAACCGAAGGGTAATTAATTATGAGATGGAAAACGCCGTATTTTCTCTTTTAACCCTTAAAAAACAACGTTGTCCTTTTCGAGCAAGTGTCAACTTGGTGAAAGCTGGTGGAAGTGTTGTAGAAACCTCCACGAATCCAACATATACGCTCTCATAAGATGACCTGAAATATTCTATTGACACGTGTCAGCAATACCCAACTGTTGACTTGAAATGATCACCACATTTTCCACTTGTAAACTAACTGTATTTCTTTGACTAACTCTTTTTCTTTTGACTAATTACTTAACCATCAAGAAAAGTCAAACAACATTGTTAAATTGTCCTATTTACTTAGTACTACAAATTAAACTACTTTATCACGTTTTCAGAAACATGCAAACTTGTGCTCAAACCTATATATAGGTGAAGCAAAACAACCCAAGTGTATCATATCTCTTACTTCTAAAGTCTATTCAAGTTTTCACATTTCTCTCAAAGTCTCAAAACTTGGTATACCAAAAAAAACAAAAACACAAAATATCTTCGTGTATTCATTCTTTTCTCCATCAGTATTATTATGAATGCCATGAAAAGAAGTAGAGAAGCGGATTTGCAAGTGGAAGCAGAAGCCATGGCTAACTGCGCCTTAATGCTATTGTCTCGTTTAAACAACAACAACAACACCACGACTTCAATAGATCGAGATTATCACAATGGTTTCGAATGCAAGACTTGCAATAAACGCTTTCCATCTTTCCAAGCTCTTGGGGGCCACCGTGCAAGTCATAAACGGCCAAGATTACTTACTGGCGCCGGAGATTTTCTTGTGCAATCCAAAAAGAATAAAATGCATGAATGTTCTATCTGTGGTATGGAGTTCTCTTTGGGTCAAGCCTTAGGTGGACATATGAGGCGTCATCGTGATGAAATTAATAAAACGTCCACGGCAGCCGGAAAGACAATTGTTTCGGTCGTCGAAAAGAAGATAATACCGGTGTTGAAGAAGTCAAATAGCAGCAAGAGAGTTTTCTGTGGCTTGGACTTGAACTTAACCCCTGATGTAGATGTTGATTTGAAGCTATGGCCGACGGCACCCGTTTCATCTCCAATTTTGCGATGTTTTTTTTAAGTCCCCTCCATTGTTGTTCTAGTACGTAGGATTAGGAGAAGCTAAGATGTAGTTGATTTTTTAATTCTTTTCGAGTTGTATATTTCCTTCATTCCATTAATTGATTCTTTCACATAACATGACATGGTATCAAAACATAAATTTATTTATCATTTATCTATTTATTTATGTCCTTAATGTTCCCTCGCGTATCAATCTGATTCTTTTTCCATAAAGCAAGTACGTGGTACTATTTGTTTATACGATATACTATATAGCAAGAACTCAGAACCTCTACCTATTTTGTATCATATTAAAGTGTGTGCGTTTTGGATGAGGTGGTCACGCAGGCTTCCATTTATAGCTTCAACGTTTGATCTAGAAAAGATTTTTATTACAACAGTAAGGATATATAACTAGTAGAAAGAAATTTCACCAAAAAATGAATTAATTAGTTATTCATAGCTTAAATCATGGGGAGGTTTAAGCTATGAATATCCTCTCACTTGGGGAAAATCTGAATTCTCAAATGATCGACTATAAATAGGATGGGTTAGCATCCCAAATCGTCCTTCTGTCTTTACCTCTTCCTTTCCTTATCCAGCTATGCAGTTGTAAGAATTGAGGACCTTGCACAATTTGTTGGCTCCTTCTACACCAAGCGATTTTGCTACTTCTACACCTACGGTTGCAAAGCAAATTTGGTAAATGGTCTAAGGATGCATCACGCTTCTGGTTCTCCTGTATCTCAACTGTATTTTTATCATAACTTGACGCTCGACAGTATAGTCTTCTCTCGGAGCGAAGGCAGAAGTGGTGAACTATTTATGGGAAGACATGGTGCCAAGTGATAATTTGTAAAAGTCCAAGGGAGAACAAATTGTACATGTGCAAAACGTGTAAGCTGGGGTTACATGTAGCTGAGGTTCAAATCATTTGTATAGATTCTATAAAGAATTCGACTTTATAGTTTATACAGCTTCTGATTCTGAAATGTCTGTCTCCAAATTACTTTTAAAAAAGTGTCAAGTATTATGATATGATATGACTTTAATGTTATTATTTATTTAGCTCTTTTTGTATTATCACTTCAATAACAAACTCTTACTTTTCGTCTAACTTGACCTAATATCTTAGCACACTACAAAAGGTTCAACTAATCAAAGAGAAATTCAGTTTCCTTTTGCTACAAAAGCGCTTCAGGTCAATGGCGTGCTAAGGACCTCGCGACGCGAGGCTGGTCGCCAGCTTCACCTCGCCAAGAGCCAGGCATCGCCTGGTGCTTGGTTCTTGGCCTTCTCCGATTTTTGCCTTTTTGTGTTTTTTAATATATTTTTGGCTCCTTGTGTGCAACCTTTACTCATTTTCATCTTCCAATGATCCTACATATAAAAATAACTCAATTAAGCTCAAGAGTGTACATATTAGCATTAAAATACCAAAATGTAAGGTACTAAAATAGACATTTATAGCCAAATATCACTACGCCACACTTAAACGTTCCTCGAGTCAACCAACAATTTACACTAGCCTTCAGCCTTTATATTTACCACAATTGAAGCACACTATATCAATGACTATGGTTGATAGCAACAATTAAGCTCTAGCATATGCATTCAAAATGCTTATGCCAAACTTCAAATATATTCAAACAAAGACAACATGCTCAATACACTCCTAGCCTAAAAAACTATCTCAATGTCATAACGCAATCATGGCTTGAACACCCAACATCGTAGAGAAGTCTGATAACGTTACATATCCCTCGTGGAACCATGTGCTCTCACAACAAAATCAAATAGAACAAGTAGAATCCGCACATTCGAATGTCATGATCAAATATAATTTAAGTACTCACATAAATCAAAGAAGTCTCTCGTACTCACAAAGAAGTAACATGCATGCAAAAGATTTCATAGGTTTGCTCTTTATGTAAACGTCTACTAATGTAGGCTCGCTTGATTTAAAATCAATTAGGACCTTTTCATCGTTGTAATGTGGGATAAGGGACGAGTATGATGATATATTTTAGTAATAGTGGCTAACCCTTGTAAGTACTTTAACACATTGCAAAATTAACTTTAAGCGCATATTTTTTCAACCCGACTTCGATTTCATAAATAAGATCACCCCCAACTAAAATGTTCCCTTCTTCCTTAAGCACTACTTTAATTCATACCCCATTAGCAAGATAAGATGTCAATTTATTTATGTATACTCAATTTTTCTTAGATTTTCGTTTCTCTTTTTTTCTCTCTCTTTTCTTTTCAACAATATTTTTTCCTTGCTAGTGGTGTATTTGTTACAGCACAAGTAAACCTTTTTTTCTTTTATTTGTTCCACTCAAAAGCCACCCAAGTTCTCTCCTTACTTTTTCTAGCACTCATTCTACAATTAAAGTGCTTTAAGAGGTAAAATAATGTCAATTAAGAATAAGAAGGGTATAAGCTCGTAATGTGGGTGCCAAATAAAAGTTTATAGGCTCAAAAAAGGTTAACTAGGGATAATTTTTATTTGTGATAAACAATAAGCTGAAAAAGATCAAACAAGGTCTAAAATCATTTTCCAAACCGAGTATCACCTAAAATTTCGCTTCAACTCACATGCTGCGCAAGTTCTAGACGCAATTATAATGACATAGACTACAAAAAAAACTCACCACAGATGGCAAATGTGTCACTAAGAATGGTCCATTCCGACTCTCAAATTAATGCAAGTATTCACGGAACCACAAGATACTAAGAATTAATAACAAAATGGACATACGTCAAGAAAATGAGACATAAGCGTCATAAAACATGTTATCCAACTAAACAAGACATCATGGACAATTTCAAAATATAGGGAAGATACTACACATGCCAAAACCTAATATGCTATTATCAAAGAAGTCAATGACTTTTAGTTTCATCATTCTTTCTCCTTTTATTCCCTAATCCTAATCCACTCTAAAAAAAACTACTACTTGGTTTAAACAATATCACATGAAAAAAGAATTGAGGCACAAAGAAAAACTACAGGGGATTATTACTACCTCAAAAAAATTAAAAGACATATTTTTAGATTTTTTTTATTTTTCAATTTTTTTCTTTTTTGTGATTTTGGTTAGACTTTAGTTCCTCACGAAAACTGTTTAGGAGATCCATCGTCAAGAAAAATCCAAATTATTCTATTTTTGATTCCCCCCCCCCCCCCCATAAGATATGCCAAATAGGCCAAACACCCCTTCTCGACCATACGCCGAGCATTCA